AAATGCGTGACCTTTCGAGTTTTCATACCAGCCTGAATATTCATTCGGGAAAATGTTCAGCCTTGATATTCAGACATTCACCTTCTTATACTGAGCAGAATGAAAAAGAGAAGCGAATGATTTGGCGAAACCTCAAAACCGAAACTGGAAATCTTGGGATATTGTTAATTATATCAAACATGATGTATGAGCCAAAAGTACAAACATTCGAAGTACAAAAATTCAAAATTTCACTTCTGGTAATGTAGTGTGATTTGTAGCTATAAGTGTTCGTTATGAAAGCCGAGTGATCTGTATCTTGCACATGCATGGGTCACATATTTTCAGCATTACTGTGTTCAAAACTTCCTCATACCAATACATATTTGGTTCTGTTATCAAATCGATATCGATATGGGAGTCTGAAGTCCGGCTGACCACATGTTTCAACATTGTTGTTTAAATCAGTTATTTTTGCTCCTGAGTGAAAAGAGATTGTCCATTTGTTCAATGTCTGTCCAAAAACGAATGACTGTTTATAGCCTATCAAAAATGTAACTCGTATCAAATAGCCATGTAATTATCCAAAATTTAACTCATACATATAGCTATGTAATTATCTCTTTCATCATCAACAATTTTTCGATAGACTTGGCAGATGTAACTCCAGGTTTGTAGTATATGGCTCAGACACAAACACTTTTTGCCTTTTTGTTTTATTTCTCTCAAGATTCATCGTCTCTCTACCTTGATAAAGCGAACAAAGCTTTCAGAGCAACTCTCTCGCGAAATTCTAAGCGGAAAAAGGCGGCACGCATGTGTATATACTTGTCCTTACGACGGTCAAGTTAAACATTTATAACAAGAAGCTTCTTTAATAAGCCTAAATTGCTCAGTCCTTGTGTATGCATAGTCAATTTTAACAGCCAAATATCTCGTCAACACAGATTCCATTTTTAGAGAGCTTCTCCTGGAGAGAGTGTATTTGTAAATTGTCACGGATAAAAAAAGCGCTTTCGGTTTTTCTTCCGTTTTCCCTCAAGTCATAATCAAAAGAATTTTATCTCACCACATTAGTTTCATTTTTGGTGTTAAATCTACAAAATTGTATCTGCTTTTATTTCCAATCTATAACCGATTTACTGTTACAATTCCAGTCGACTTCCGAGGACTCGAACTCTCCCTAACTCGACATTGCGCCAACGCGAACCTAATCTGATCATGATTTCCCCCTGATGTCCGTTATACATTTACTGAAATTTTATCCTCGATAACTCAAATCTCCTGCTCCCCCTTCAGGTAATCCTCTTTATATTTTTACCATCGATAACTCGAATCAAGGTAAACCACGTCCTCCAATAAGTGAAAAATCAAAACAAACAGTGAACTGCATTCCAAACCATTTAATTTGTATTGAAGCAGCCGTTTAATCTTTGACGAATATGTATACCAAAGGAATAATAATAAAAAAAAAAAAAAGTAAACATCGTTTTTCCCTCATTTGTGGTCCTTTGTTTTCTACTCCCGAGTCTTTTCCTGTGGAAGTTCAAGTTATCGGGAGTCAACTACATTTCTCATGGAAAAATAACTAGTATGCGAGCCTCGAATTCAAGTGCTCGTCCCAGCTCCCAAATTTACGAGGTGAGGGATCATGAAACGATGTCACCATGAAGGATGTACGGATTCTATTTGTTTTACAAACTTAGTCCTCTCGGAGTGCCTTCTACTTGTTTACAACCAGACAGACCAACGAGAGCTTACGTAAAAGACTGCTGGTACTATCGATTTGGCTAATCTTTCGAAACCTCTGAGATTGTTCGGAGGTTTATCGCAAGTTTACGGAAAGATGAAGATTTCAAAACATTTAGAACCGTTCGAATTAGACTCGCTTTTCTTAAAGTGTGTCTTCTGTTAAACTCAATCTTCTGGTAAAATAGATCACAAAACATAAGCGAGAAAAGGAAACCTACAAAATATTTAATGAAAGTTGATTCCATTGAAGAAGTAAGTCTTCCGCTCTGTAATACCCTCGAAAACATCCGCGGGGCTTCCCCGTTGAAAATATGAATGTCTAATTAACCGTGACGTCAACATGAACCGAGCCCAAACCCCTACAAGAAAAACCGTGTTGGTTTTTCAATTGTTCGTCAATTGTTCGTTCGTTCCAGGAGGCCATGTGTAACTTCAAAACACGACTTGAAGCACGTGGTTACCCAAAAAGCCTAATTGAAAAAACGTTATCTGAGGTCTCGTTTGCCGCAAGGCAGTCAACACTTAAAAAACAAACCAAAAAAACTACAGGCAAAATATTGCCTTTTGTGACAGCATACCGCCCAGGGGTTAAAAATTTAAAACAAATGCTGATGCAAGAATGGAACCTCATCCAAAATCAGCCACTGCTGAAAACAATTTAC